CAATGTTCAAAAATGCTTTTTAAGAATTAAAAACAAATAAAATAAATCTTAGCTAAAAAACAATTAAAAATTATGTTCAGTCCTCAGACAGTCACTGGGGACACCTTGTCTTTCAAGTACAATTCTAAAAAGCATAGGTAAGCCACAGGTACAAATACATCAGCTGGATGTATGACTACTTCTGATGAATCTACAATTATTTTCTTTTTAAGGATTTCCGCCAAGATGGAGGTGTAGGTGGAAGCACTGTACCTCCTCCCACAACCAAGTTTAAAAACAACAAAGTTTTAGCAACAAAAACGCAGCCAAAACCACAGAAAATTGAACTTCACGGAAGTCTGACAACAACAAACCCTTTAGCCAAACCAATAAACTGGAGGGAGGGAGCAGTGAGACAGACCATGCAGGCCCCAGTGGCAGGAAGTGGCAGAGGGGACTGCCATTGTCCCTCACTGACCCCACCCCCACCTACAGCTTCACAAACCAGCAACCTTGGTGGCCTCGCCCTGGTGAACAATCAAGGCTCTGCTCCTCATATGTAACAGGCACAAACAGATAAAAACATGGCTCAAGAAGAACTCAGAGCCCCAGAGCCGATAAATCTAAGCGATGAAGAAATAGCCAAACTTTCAGATGCACAGTTCAAAACACTGGTGATCAGGATGCTCACAGAACTGGTTGATTTTAGTCACAAATTATAGGAACATATGAAGGCTAAACTAATTGAAATGAATGGAAATGCACAGGAAACCAATAGTAATGGAGAGGAAACTGGGACTCAAATCAAAGGAGTGGACCAGAAAGAGGAAAAAAATGACCAAACAGAAAAGGATGAAGAAACAAGAATTCAAAAAAATGAGGACAGGCTTAGGAACCTCTGGACATCTTTAAACATTCCAACATCAGAATTATAGGGGTGCCAGAAGGGGAAGAGGAACAGCCACGAGTGGAACACTTATTTGAACAAATAATAAAGGAGAATTTCCCCAATCTGGCAAAGGAAATAGACTTCCAGGAAATCCAGGAAGCTCAGAGAGTCCCAAAGAAGTTGGGCCCAAGAAGGAACACACCAAGGCACATCGTCATTACATTAGCCAAGATTAAAATGAAGGAGAGAATTCTAGAAGCAGCAAGAGATAAGGGGACAGTCACCTACCAAGTAGTTCCCATCAGACTGTCAGCAGATTTCTCAAAAGACACCTTAGCTGCACAGTAGAACTTACAGGCAAGAAGGGGCTGGAAAAGACCTTACAGGCAAGAAGGGGCTGGGAAGGAAGTATTCTAAGTCATGAAATCCAAAGGCCTATGTCCAAGATTGCTCTATCCAGCAAAGTTTTCATTTAGAATGGAAGGGCAGATAAAGTGCTTCTCAGATAAGATCAAATTCAAGGAGTTCATCATCACCAAGCCTTTATTATATGAAATGTTAAAGGGACTTACCTAAGAAAAAGAAGATAAAAAAGATGAACAGTGAAAGGACAGCAAACTCACAGTTATTAACAACCACACCTAAAATAAAAGCAAACTAAGAGGATAGCTAGATCAGGAGCAGAACCATAGAAATAAAGATCACGTGGAGGGTTAGCAACAGGGGAATGGGAGAAGGAGAAGGGGGGAGAAGGTACAGAAAATAAGTAGAATAGATGGTAGGTAGAAAATAGATAGGGGGGAGGGCAAGAATAGTAGGGGAGACATAGAATCTAAAGAACTTGAGACACGTGGTCATAAACTAAAGGGGGGGAATGGTGGGGGGGTGTGCAGGGTGGAGGGGAATGAAGGGGGGAATTGAACAACTGTAATGGCATAATCAATAAAATATATTAAAAAAATAAAAAATTATTGTCTTTTTAAATAGAGAACAGTCCAAAGTGAATGTTTCATACTCTTTGCCATCTCCACAAACATGAACTCTGTATTTCTGAGATAGCTCTAAGAGATAAAGCTCCATTTGATCCAGGGTTTTTCCAACACACTTATCTGGCTTCAAACTCAAAGCTGCTACTTTGATGATGACTGCCTGAATGTTATCATCTCTTGGAGCAAATCTTGGTCTCTTTGCCAAAGGTAAGCTAAAAGCGGAAGATTAAGCCTTCTACACACATTTTCAACTCTAACACACTGATATTCCTTCCACTTTTTCTTTTTCTTTTTTTTTAATATTTTATTTATTTATCTTTACAGGGGAAGGGAAGGAGAGAGGGAGAGAAGCATCAATGTATGGTTGCCTTTCGTGCATCCCCTGCTGGGAACTGGCCTGCAGGGAACCGGCCTGCAACCCCGGTATGTGCCCTGACTAGGAATCGAACTGCGATTGTCTGGTTCGCAGGCCCGCGCTCAATCCACTGAGCTATACCAGCCAGGGCTCTTTTTTTTAAACAAGTTTCACAAGGTCAGAGATCTTTAACCTTATCACCTTCACATTTGTCCTGTATCCACACACCTTCCTCTTATGGTAAAGCAACAGAGGGGAAGAGCCATTGCTTCTGCATACAAATCAACGGCATGATGACCTACTGTCTGATACATGTAGCTATCCAGTTCATTTGACTGCATTTGGTTTTCAGCTGGTCTTAGATTTGCTAAACCAACGATCTGATGCCTGGCAGGAATGCACTGCATCATATTGTAACAGCTGTCCTTCCCACCACTGATCAGAGCTGCAACTCTCATGCTGGGCACGGTATACATGTGCAGCAGACCTAGCATTAGAATTTTAATAATGATGTATCTTGGTGTGGGCTTCTTTAGGTTCATTATGGTTGGGACTTTGTACTTCCTGGACATGTATTTCCTCTACCAAGTCAGGGAAGGTATGAGATGAGGCATGCCAAGACCAAGGCACGCTGCTTGTTTGAGATTTTAGGAAAGTCTGCAGCATGAACCAAAACAGACCATTAATATGGAAAAGACCCTGGGAATGGTTGTGTGAACCTGGAAGTTGGGTGGAACAGGGTCTCAGGAAATAACCAGGGAAGGGCAAACTGTGTTAGCCAGGTTGATGGAGACTCAGATATGGTGCCCACCTGCAGGCTCTGTAGGGCAAAGTCTCAACAAAGAAAATATGGCCTCTGCTAGTACTTCTGTCTGGGAGAAAACTGCCCCACCTTTGCTGGACAATTTAGTTCTTCTCTGTATGTCCCTAATGCACTTTGAGCTACTGTGAGTCTGAGTAAGCCTGTACATGGGCTCTTTCAGAGGAATACCTGGGACTCCAGAAGCCCTCCATCTCACTTAGCCACCACCCCCACTAGTTTTCACAGCCAGAAGTTATGGGGACTTTTCTGGATTGAAAGCTTTGGCTGGGGGAACCTGCTGTGGAGCTGGGACCCCTCACTTCTCAAGGGGCCCTCTGCAGTGGAGATATCCCTCCTTATTTTTAACCACTACACTGTAGGTATGTGACCAGCCTGTTCTAAGTTCTGCCTGTACTACTGGTCTCTACATGGCTTCTTCTTTATATCCTTAGTTCTAGGACTTTTGTTCAGTGAGGTTTCAGGCAGCTTTGAATGATGGTTATTATTTAGTTTAGTTGTAATTTTGATGTAATTATGGGAGGAGGTGATTACCTTCCGCCATCTTAACCTGAAGCCTCATTTTACTCTTTCCAGAATTCAACTAATTTGTTTTTACTACTGAAAGGCTCATAATAAAATCTAGAAAAGAAAAAAAGGGAAAACCTCTCCAAACAAAAGGTTGTATGTTATGTTCACCCCTAGAAATGCTTTCATATGTTATATGTTGAATCTATCTGGCTCATGTACTACACTGAGCAGTGTGGGCAAAAATGGGGCTGACCCATGAGAGGGCATGAGCTGTCACACATGAAGCCACAGAATCCACAGCAAGCCATCGTGACACACAGTGATGCAGCAGAAAGATCTGCTATCTGACTAGAAGGCTTGTTAATTTACGAGAAGGAAATGAACATGCTCCATGTTGAAAAGAATAATACATTTAACTATTTGTTAAGCAAAACACAATTCTGATGGAGAAAGTGTGTGAAGTGCTCCCCTCCCCAGTTGTAAGTGGGTGCGAGGCTCCACGCCTGTTTTACCACCCCTGCATCTGGAAGGCCCTGGCCCCCTTTAAAAGTACACCTGCCTTGCTTAATTAATGGCAGAAGACATAAGAGCAGCTATACAAATAACTTGTGGTAGATTATGGACTAACAAGTAAAGATTGCACCACCCCACATTTGGGCAGTTTACCTGTTTTTGATAACTAATTTTATAAGCCTGCCTTTCTCTAGTTCAGCTGCTTGTTCAGGGCAGAGTTTGGCTGATTTAAGACTGTATAACACTCTTTTGTGTTGGAAGTTCAACACAAAAAAAGGATTAACATTTTAAATATCACATTCTAATTTAAGTAAAACCCCAAAATGGACCCCAAAGACCTACTCTCAGCACTCAGACACTCTGTAGTCACTGCCGTTTGATTTCCAGATATGGCAGCTGCCTCACTGGGGCAGGGCTGGGGAATCTGCAAGAGGGAATGCTGAGCAGACAGCATTTGTCATGCTTCTTCCCGACCTCACTCAATACTTTTGCAGATGATCTCTGGAAAAGAATTTGCTCTGATTTCATGTATGTGTCAGTGTTTCTCAAAATGTGGCTCCCTGCTAGGCCTTGGGTTGACCTTGAGATCCTTCAGGTCAGGTTTAAGTTGTTTGCTATGGCCTATCCATCTGTCAGTGTATCCTACAAACCCAGCAAGAACAAAGGATGCTACTGATATCCATCACATCCATGCTTTTCTTATTCAAGTGCCCTGCAAAGTGCTAAGAGCTTTCTTTCAGAGGAGACTGAAGCAAGCCTGCACAACAGCCTATGTCTGTCATTTCTATGACATTGAGCTCCTGTTATAGCTGAGAAACCTGAAGTTCAAAAGTATACCAACATGTCTTCAAATTCCTACAACAAATAAATTTGGGGAAATGCATGATGTTTTTGCACTGATATAAGTATTTCCCAAGCATATGTAATTAAATGAAATTCAAATACCTGCCACATTTCTACCTTCCTTTTCACTTCCTCCTTTTCTGCAAACTCACTTAAGTTTGCCAGGGCTTTGGCTGCCAGTATTCTCCTTTGTTCAACACTTAATTCAGAATGCAGAGCAGTGTGTGGAGCAACTTCAGGCACATCTTTGCTCTCTTGGATTTTAGGTCCAATTGATGACTGTGAGGATTGTGTTTTGGGGCCGGAGCCACAGTCCACAGGGCTGCTGCAGCTACCATGAACTTCACACAGACATGGGGTGCCTTGCTGGGGAGAACAGTGTGGTTCCTTTGGGATATTTGCAACACTGGATGTAACTGGTTCCCCAGGGTTGTATGAACCAGAAACACCTGAAGAGAAGGTTTTACTCCGTTGTACTTCCTTTGAAATATTCTTCTTTTGGAAAATTGGTGACCCATCATCTTTGTATTCTTCTAAGTCTCTAAATTTAGCCTGATTCCAGAAAGAAAATGTATTGCAGATCAGCATTTCCTTACTGAAATCCAGCTGTGGAGTCTGTGAAGCATCATGGTGGCTAATGGGTGTCTGCTGCCTGGGGCTGGGGCAAAACAAGACTTGAGCGGGCACCGTCCATGGAGTCCCTGACTGCTCCAGAAGTGACTCGGCCCTCTGTAAATCTGAGTCACTGTAGCTGAGCTGCCTTTTCAGGTGAGTCAGGGGCTGAAAGCATTCTATATTCCGTCTTTTCCAAAGAGGGTCAAATTCTTGTTCACTGGAAAGAATCACATCTTGATTCTTCAAATCTGCCGCCATTGCAGTGGGGGTGAAAGAGTCCAAAGCACCACTGTCGTGCCTCAGTAACTCTTTATCCAGCTGCATCGTGACCATCTCAGAAACAGTTTTTTCAATTTCAGCAGAGAGGCCAGGTACCTCTACCACTTTTGTCACTATGGGCCTGTTCTCAGCTAAGTCCAGCAACAATTTGCATATGAAGTGGATAATTTTTGGCACATGTTTCAGAAGTCGTGCCTCGTATCCATGAAGTAGATGCCGCTGGCGAATCAGATACTGTGTTAAGGTGACAGCATGTGCTTTGGGGTCACAGCAAGAGAATATGTTGCGAAGAGGAATCAGAAACTGAGTAAATTCCCTCACACACAGTAGCTGTCCTCGAGTTTGAATGGAATTGGGTCGCTTTGCCCGAACAAATATAATGGCTTGATCAGCAGTCATTCTTGTTGAGAAAACTAAGTAGCAAGCTATTAAAACACCTAAGTGGAGAAGAAGAAAGAACTGGATTAAGAAAAAAACATGAAAAGTGAAAGGACAGCAAACTCACAGTTATTAACAACCACACCTAAAACAAAAGCAAACTAAAAGGACAGCTAGATCAGGAGTGAACCATAGAAATGAAGATCTCAAGGAGGGTTAGCAACAGGGGAGTGGGAGGAGGAGAAGGGGGGAGAAGGTACAGAAAATAATTAGCATAGATGTAGATAGAAAATAGATGGGGGGGGCAAGAATAGCATGGGAAATATAGACTCTAAAGAACTTGAGATACATGGTCATAAACTAAAGGGGGGGTAGTGGTGGGGACGGGGGATAAGGTGGAGGGGAATGAACGGGGGAATAGAACAACTGTAATGGCATAATCAATAAAAAAATCCATTTAAAAAAAAGAAAAGCTCACATATATATGTATATATATATATAATATATGAATCTTTGATGATTTAAATTTGATATTTGTTAGAAAACCATATAGAGAAACATTTTAAGGCTAATATACTTCATAAATTTTTGTAAAGGTGTTTATATATTTACCTGTCTATATGGTACCACTCACATTGACTGAGAACACTCAGTGCTCCTTATACCAAGGGGTGAACAGAGAAACTGTCCCAGTGAAGCTAAGTGTGGATGTAGGGAGGATGACTGAATAAGATGGAGTAAGGGGGGAGGACTGAGTAGCTGTGGAATGAATACTCAGGAGTAACTGAGTAACCGTGGCATGGGGGGGAGGATGACTGAGTAAGTGCAGAGTAAGTGAGGGATGATGGAGCAAATGTGGAGTAAGGGGGAGTGACTAAGTGTAGCATGAGGGGGGATGGTTAAGTGTGAAGTGCACGAGAATGACTAGTGTGGAGAGTGTGAGGAATGACTGAGTAAATATAGAGTAGGTGAGAAATAACTGAGTTAAGTGTGGAGTGAAGTGATAGGGGATGACTGTGAAGTGAAGGGGCTGACTCAGTAAGTGTGGAGTGAGGGGGATGTGTGAATAGGTATGGAATAAAGGGGGATCACTGCATCAGTGTGGACTGAGGGGTAACAACTGAATAGTAAATATGCAGTAAGCCGGGATGTCTAAGTGTGAAGGAGAATGGCTGAGTAATTGTGGAGTAAAAGAGGGATGACCTGGCATATTTATCTTCCTTATGTCCAACTCTAAGATGGGAGAAGTGAAATCCTGCTTCTATTTCCCATTTAACAATTTCTGAAAATTTCTATGTGGTGGATCCATACACTGCACTTAGAACTTCCCACTTCTGCCTTTGCTATCAATTGTTGATACTTTCCTGCCTGGCATTCTACCAACTCCAACATTAAAAATTTTTATTTATTTATTTATCTTTAGAATGGAAGGGAAAGAGAGAACTATCAATGTATGGTTGCTTCTGGTGCATCCCCTGCTGGGAACTGGCCCCTGCTGGGAACTGGCCTGCAACCCAGGCATGTGCCCTGATGGGGAATCAAGCCACGATCTTTTGGTTCGCAGGCCCGTGCTCAATCCACCGAGCTACACCAGCCAGGGCAATTTTTAGATTTGGGAATTATTCATATTCACAAACTTTTTTCCCTGAAAATTCTTCTTGCAGATTTGTTTTTACACTAATATATGTTTTTCTCCATACCATGATACAATTATATATTGCTGTAAGCAGTTAATATTAAGGAAAACAGCCTTAATAGTATAAACATTAGGCATTCTTATTTATTTCAAGTTAAAATGAATATTGAAAAAGTGATAATTAACCAATTAGTAAAATAGTTAATTACTATCAAAGTCAAAGGCAATCAAAAGACACTTGTGTGATTCACCAAAGCTGTGAATCTCACTACATACATCAGAACCTCTGAACACTGCATGTTCTTTCAGTATGTGGTAGGTAGAGTCTGACATATCATTTTCACTAGGACAGGGAAAGTCTTTAGTGCAAGAATGAGATCTGCAGACCTATTATTACATGGAATCCAGGAAGAGCAAAATTTTGGTTTGACCATGAGAGCTGACGATATTGAGGAGAACTGTATCCACATCCTGACAAAGCACCTGAGCAGATGGGAAACTCTTTATGGCAGATATACAGAGTCAAGCTCAGGTGTCTGGTTGAACCAAATGGCAGCTAAGACTCCAGTGCAACAGTCTTTATTCCAGCCCTCATATCAGCATGGCACAGAGATTTTCCTGCCTTTTTAAGTAAAATCATTGATTTTTATATAGAATTCTAGACACGGATAGACTCTCTTTCACAAACATGAATTCTGACAGCTGTGAATGTAAATCCTGGATCTGCCACTTCCTGGAGGTAGCAAATTACGTTTGTGTCTTCAAAACTCACATTCTTACTAAAGACTTACTAAGAGACTTCCGCCAAGATGGCGGCATAGGTGGATGTGCGGTGCCTTCTCACACAACCAAGTTTAGAGACAACTAAATATTAGCAACAGAAAACACAGCCAGAACACAGAAAATTGAACTTTTCGGAAGTCCGTTAACAACAAATTCTTCAGCCTGACTGGTAAGGGGCAAAACCAGCGGCTGGTGAGGGGTTGCACAGGAGGATTCGGTCAGACAGACTCAGGCGCGGAATCCAGACATGCGGAATCCAGGCGCAGGGTTGGACCTAGTGAGCTACGGAGCGAGCCACTGCGGAGGAGACAGCAGGGAAGCGGTGCTGCATGTTGACTGTGGTCGCCCATTTGTGCGCAAGCGGACAGGCGAGGGAGTGGGTGGTTGGACCTGGCCCAGCGGGTCCCCTGCGGCAAGCGGCATTAGAGGGCGCCGCCATTTCCCCGCTCTGACCACGCCCCCACATACAGCGTCACAACCCAGCGACCTGGGAGTCTAAGGCACCACTTCTCACACTTAAAGGGCCAGAACAGACCAAAAATGTCGCAAGAATATCTCAAAGCCCCAGAGCCCATAGATCTAAGCGATGAAGAAATAGCAAAACTCTCAGACACATACCTTAAAACACTGGTCATCAGGATCCTCACAGAACTGGTTGATTATAGCCACAAATTAGACAAATATATGAAGGCAAAACTAATTGAAATGAATGGAATTGCACAGGACACCAATAGCAATGAAAAGGAAACTGGGACTGAAATCAATGGAGTGGACCAGAAGAAAGCAAATAATGGCCAAACAGAAAAGAGTCAGGAAGCAAGAATTCAAAGAAATGAGGAGAGTCTTAGGAACCTCCAGGACATCTTTAAACGCTCCAACATCCGAATTATAGGGGTACCAGAAGGGGGAAAGGCACAGCCACCAGTGGAAAACTTATTTGAACAAATAATAAAGGAGAATTTCCCCAATCTGGCAAAGGAAATAGACTTCCAGGAAATCCAGGAAGCTCAGAGAGTCCCAAAGAACTTGGACCCAAGAAGGAACACACCAAGGCACATCATAATTACATTAGCCAAAATTAAAATGAAGGAGAGAATCCTAGAAGCAGCAAGAGCTAAGGGGACAGTCACCTACAAAGGAGTCCCCATCAGACTGTCAGCAGATTTCTCAAAAGAGACCTTACAGGCCAGAAGGGGCTGGAAAGAGGTATTCCAAGTCATGAAAACCAAAGGCCTACGTCCAAGATTGCTCTATCCAGCAAAGTTTTCATTTAGAATGGAAGGACAGATAAGGTGCTTCTCAGATAAGATCAAATTCAAGGAGTTCATCATCACCAAGCCCTTATTATATGAAATGTTAAAGGGACTTATCTAAGAAAAAGAAGTTAAAGAAACATGAACAGTGAAAGGACAGCAAACTCACAGTTATTAACAACCACACCTAAAACGAAAGCAAACTAAAAGGACAGCTAGATCAGGAGTGGAAACATAGAAATGAAGATCTCCAGGAGGGTTAGCAACAGGGGAGTGGGAGGAGGAGAAGGGGGGAGAAAGTACAGAAAATAAGTAGCAGAGACAGTAGATAGAAAATAGATGGGGGGGCAAGAATAGTATGGGAAATATAGAATCTAAAGAACTTGAGACACATGGTCATAAACTAAAGGGAGGGTAATGGTGGGGATGGGGGGTAGGGTGGAGGGGAATGAAGGGGGGAATAGAACAACTGTAACGGCATAATCAATAAAAAAATTAAAAAAAAAAAAGACTAAGAGAGCAAGTGTAAATAGAACAGTAGTTGAAACAATGCTTGTTATTTTCTTTATTATTTGGTTATGGAAAATTCCATTTTTAAAGACCCTGGGTATTAAAAATGTTATTCCTTATATGTTTAAATATGCTCCAGACAATAAAACTATCTCCTAGAATTTACCTGTTCGACCAAGCCCTGCGTGACAATGGATGGCCACTTTTCCTTCTTGTAAGGCAAATGTCATCACCTTCACCATATCTAATATAGTGGTAAGTGATGCTACACCATAATCCTTCCATCCGAAATTGTAGAAATAAACTGGGCAATGGAAAAGAGAACAGGAAAGAAAGTCAACATACAAGAAAAATACTTGCAAGAATATTTGAGAAAAGTGAGTGAATTCATCAAGAATAGAAAGCTGTAAGGCATGCAGATCTCAGTAGGCTCACAGAATAATAGGCTTTTTACATTTCCATGAAATTTATTGTTAACATTTCTTACAAATGAAAAGCACATTTCATATTATTTAAGGCATTTCCTACTGAAACTCAGCCAGAAAGAATTATGGAAAAGCGGGACTGCAAATTAATAAAGTCAATAATCTATGCCAAAATGTCTTAGCTACAGGGAGAAGGCATATGGTCCTGAACCTTAGAAATGAGTCTAAAATGACTGATAAATGGCAGAAGATGGTACATATACATTTTTTATCTGGTGGAGAAAAAAAAACTAGATGCAGCTTCTTGAAAAAAACATTCTAAAATTGCACAGGTTGATTCTTTCCAACTTGGTGTAATTTCACCCCAAAGCTCCCATGACTAAGAAGCTTCTGGAACTGCCACATAAGGAATCCCGGCACCCTACCCAGGGGCAGAACTGATGTGTCACAGCAAAAGCTGCAGAGTCCTGGGTCCCAGTCCTTTAACATGGCTAAGCTGTGTGACCCTGAGCAAATCAGAATTTGCTAAGTGTGTATAGTCTCACGTGAAGCAGAAACAACTACTTTACTTAACTGTTTTAAAGGATAAAAATGAGATGATAGATCTGACATACTGTTAATATTAATCAATGTAGGCACTAATCAAATGGTACCCTTATTTCTACATGTTGTGTTCCCAAGGTTCCTGTCAGAGAGAAAGAAAGCCTGCATTTTCCACAGCAATACCACACATACACACACAAGGCAGTATTCTTTAAAGTCAGAGTTAGCTCATCTTCATGTTTTAGGAAATAAATGCTTCATGCAGTGAGCATTTATTTCCACCACCTTTTAAACCTAAGAGCTGAGCAGACAAAAGGCTCCAAGTGCTGTCCTCGATAACTCATGGAGAGGAGTATGTAAGGACTTACTTCCAGCTTCCATGAAAGCTTCAGGAAGGTACGTGAAACCACTTTCTTGTTCCAGAGGGTTCCCACAGCTGGCATGCTCACCAGGCCGCTGTAGATTAATGATTGTTTTTAAGCCATGACTCAAAGGAAAAAGAAAAAAATTAGTCATATTGGCAGCTAGCTAGCACTGTTAAAAAAATTATCACTTTTGGCATTAATAAACAATTATTAATTATTCTCAAATTTCCTATTTAAAATAAGCTATGTATACCTATTGTTAAAATGAAAATACGTTTTCATTGAAGCCAAAAGCAATGGAGGAGTAAACTTACAAGCTGGCTTATGAAACTGTGTGTGAACAATGTGGCATTTACCTCTGAAACTGCTCAATGATGCGGTACTTCTCAAGGAGCTCAGTGGATGGGCGAGCCATTGCCAGGATGTTATCGGTGACCCTACAGAGGGGAAGAGGGACTGGTAAAATGCACAAAATCTAGAACATTCCAGCTCCAAGGACTGAGAGAGCAGTACACTAGTTTTCCTATAATTTCAATAACTCTGTAAAATAAGAATTCCTATACAAATCTGGCTTCAATTTTGCATTATGATTAGGATTCTAAAAAACCCTAGCTGCTTAAATCTCTGGGAAAAGTACTTACAGACTGCAACAAAGCATTTTTAAGGACCCTCAAGAGGTTTTACTGGACATGATAAAAAAGAGTTCAACTGGCAGCAAAGGTGACAGTCTAGGTAGGTTATCCAAAGGCTGTAAGTCATTTGAGGACCGATTAGAAGGCATTTCTAGTTCTTGAGCTATCTGCAGTTTAGTATGTGTTAATTGGAATAAAAATACCTGCCTCGTAGGGTTGGTGTTCAAATTTAACATGATGTGGATGCAAAGTCTTTAGCAAAAATCCACACATGTGGTTATAAATAAATGCTGAATTATTGCAATTTAGCAAAAAATAAAAGCTTTGGACTCAGCTGGGCTTAGTTTCAAATGCTGGCCTTTCTACTTTCTAGCTGTGTAGCACATGACTTAGTTTCTCTGGACCTCAATTCCTATATCAATAAAATGACACTACCAATGCCTACTTTACAAGAGTTTTATGAAGATGAGATAATAATTTGAAAGTGCCTAGCACAGTCCCTGGCCTGTAGCCAAATGCATGTTTACTGAGTGTACAAATAGACAGAGACCCAACAAGTGGCTGTCTCTCATTAGGGCTCTGGCTTCATCCCATTTTGGTAGAATTTCTCATCAGTATTCTGGTAAAAGGTACATCAGGCAGTCTATTAAAAGTTGTAGGTCACAACTTGAGAGAAGTAACATTAAATGAAGAGAGCAGGATCCAAAAAGATAACAACTCTCTCCCCAGGATAATGCCTGAAATTCAACAGGGACCCCAAAAGTTTTAGAACCCCAAATTTAATAGCACTTAGTATGAGAAAAGATGTAACATGAAATCAAACAGGTAAAAAAGACTCAGATGGTTTAGTCAACAATAAATCAAAAACATGTATGTGGCCTTATGCTCCACTATTAGAAACTTACTTGTCAGACCACACCTCAGGAACAGTGTTTGCCTTTTCATAACATTCTCAGAGAAAGACAGTGAAAGACTAGAATATGATCTGTGGGGAACAGTGACAGTGGTTCTCCCACTACATCACTACCCATGTAACCAGAAAAGCCAACATGAAAAAGCATGGGTTGCAAGTTGGAGGTCCTGGTCGACAAATATCTAAAACGTAAATGAATTCTTGCTATATAAAATGACTCACCACTAGAATTCTTTAAACAGTGATTTCCTCTAAGTGTGTTTCAAATGGGATTTGGTCTGATTATCAAAACTCTTCAGATATCACCACACTGAAAAGATACACTCGACAGTTTACTAGTAACAATAAAAAGCAGTATGATTCATTGGCACCTACACAGCATAAAAAATGCAAGCATCTGACATTGTCCACCGAACCAACAACTTATTCCACTCCTGGTGAGACAGACTAGAAGAGTATGTGTGTGGAAATGGGTCCTTTCATGCAGAGTACAGGACCAAAATTAAAACAAGGCTATAGCTCACCTTTATGAAACTGAAAACTACATATGTACCTCATAATTTTTCAAATTTATAGCTAAACATTTTTAACATTTCTAGCAATTTCTGAAATTTAAGAGCTATTTATCTTGTTATCATTTCCTTAAGATATTTACATACATTATTTCACTTAATTAAAAAAGACCCTATGGAATTGTTTTTATTATTTCCATTTCACAGAGGAGAAAACCGAGGTTCAGAAAACCTGCTCACAGGCCTGTGTGAGTAGGCCACAGCTTGTCAGGCAGCAACGCCAGGGATTGGAGGCAAGGTTCCAACTTCCCATACTCTCTCTTCCACAGCATCCAGCCACCAGGCACCACAGACATCTTCAGTCCCTTTTCCTACACAGCTGCAGGTGAGAACTACCACAGATGACAGAATCACTCACCAGGACGAGTAGACACCCCTGATGGCCTGCTCCTGCTCACTCCAGCGGGCTGGATTTTCGTACTTGCATGATCTGCCCCCACATGCCATGGAGCAGGCCACGTGTCCGGGGATGACATGTCGTAAACGCTCTCCCACTTTTGTATACTTCGGTGCTGGACGTCCTGAATTGCCTAGAATGTGCAAGGAAGGGATTTAAAATTCCACTCTCCAAACAGAATAGTGATCTGGGAAGCAGTTTCCATTTGTTCTCAGGTTTGTAGGTAAGGAGCTGGAGCTAACTCCCCTTTACTTTGTCAAGATGAAAACCATTAAAACCAAGTGTATTATCTCTTAATATAGCAAACACTTTAAGACACAATTTCCACATGCCAGAGGGGTCACACAGAGGAAGCAACTCTAAAGCAGATCTTTCATAAGGGAACAAGGTTTGTTCAAAAACTACATTTTTAATATAAAAACACAAACATTCAATCACTTTATCTCCTATTACATATTCACTAAAACTCTTAGCATAACAGATGGTAAAACATATAATATAGAATTGTCAACATTTAAAAAGGTATGAACACAGCACAGCCTCTTAAAATGCCTTAAAGTTAAACTCAAAGGTGTGGCAATCTTTAAGAAGAAAAGGAGTTTTACTTTTTCTCTTGGGGCAAGCTGGGTTTCTCTTGGCACAGCTGACAGAGGACGCAGCTAGCATCACCTGCAGAGAAGAAGAGGAGAGCATCTTGGCGACAGAGCTGGGCTGCCCCTGTGGCAGTCGTAGTCCAGTGCCTGAGGCTGAGTGTCGGTGGCCCTGTAAGAAGGAGCCAAGGGTGGGCAGGGCTGAGAGCCGCTGGGGCGGGTCCTGCATGGTGCGGTTGGCCAGGAGAGCTGGAGGCCAGGAGATGACAGCACCAGCCTGCTCCGTGATGAACTTACACTGAGATATGAGCATCACTCTGCATGATCTAACAGCCATTCAGGATAGGCTGACTTGTTTCCATAGTGATGAACAAAGAAACTACTGATTCCCACTCAGAGTTGTATAGGCAAAGTCCCACAGGAATGAACTGTGGTTTGGACAGATTGTTCAACTATGTGGAGGATTAAAATATATTTTAAATAAATTACTCCTAAACTGTGACTATTCTATTTTGTTTTTCAAGCACATTTAAAAGATCTGACTGCTCAAAAAATTACATCTAAAACACTATAATGAATTTAGAAAAATGCCTTTATGATGTAAACACTGTCTTTTACACGTATACTAAAAGGTTTAAATTCTTTTATTTCATATCTAGTCTCTAAACATGTTGAAAAAAGTTCTTTTCACTACTCTTGAGAACGGGGCAGAAAGAAAGTTAATTGTAATGAAATGGGACATGCTGGACATCTGATAACATTATTAAAACACCATTCCATTTTCCAAAACCAAAAAATTTTCTGTTTTCTTTACAGAACTATTAAATACTTGGATAAAACAAATAAAGATATCTTTAGGGCTGATAAATTAATCAGAAAATGGTTTTGTATTTTTATCATCAGAATGTGAAAACCCAATTCTTGGTAATACCTTTATTGGATAGTTAATAATAGCCACGCTTCTCAAAAACTCAAAATACAATTATATGAATTTTGTCAGTGACTGGGGAAAAAGAAACTTGGATAATGCCTTGGCAGAAGCATACATCCCCCCCCCCCCCCCCCCAAAAAAAAAACCCAAAAAGCCTCACTAAGGATCACATTTTTTAAAGGAACCAACTGGGTGCGGGGGAGGTTGCAACTTGAGGATAAAGAGAACAGAAACTCTAACAACCACCAATTGTCTGTGCCTCCTTCCTGGTTAATGTCAAGCTGTACTGCCCCCTCCTCCCACCCCAGCCTTCCTCTTTCTGTCTGCCAGTCTCCAAACTTCTATTTCAGCTGTGTGCAGACAGAAACAATCTACTGCCACAGATAGGGCTTTTAAAAATTTTGTCCTGTTTTATTTTAATTAATTAATAATGCCTTAAGCAAGCACTTTTTAAAATGCACCTCCCACCCCCAGCAATCTCCGCAGCAGGATGCACTCTGTCAAATAAGATAGACGATCTGGTGCTCAAATGCCTACTCACGGTGTAGCACTATGCTGTGGTTATTTTGTATACAGCAACAGAGTAATTTTTTCAGGCTTCCAGAGCTCTACAGGAGAGAAAAGAGTAGGTGCAGCACAGAAAGCAAGTTGGAACCCGATGGCGGATGGCTCTAAGTGCTCAAACTAAGGACTCTGCGCCTGCTACCTGGGGAACAGGGAGTTAGATTCAAGTTGCTGAACAAGTACTCATGCAGTGGTTAATGCTGCCCTGCAGAGACAGCTGGAAGTCCAAGACTAGAGACCTACTGGGACAGTGACTATAAATGGAGCCAAACCCAGGTATGAGACAGTACAGAGGCTAGTAAGTGGCAGCTGGAAGACAGAGGCAGAGACAGTGCCAGGACTTCCTGCCTAAGTGAGCAACAGAGACAGTGAAGCTGGTTAACAAGGGAGCTAGTAGGGAGCAGGTGTGTGACAGCCAGGCAGGTCAGCTCCATTTGAAATACAAGGCCTGTGACGTGGCAACCAGGGGGTCTCAGCAGTGGATGGAAGATCCTGATGTCTGCAACTCTAAGGACATCTACAGAGTAGAGTATTAAGTGACTAGGGGTATTTAGGGAAGTGGAACTGAAGCAGCCCTCTTTCTTAGAATGCCCCTGACATCACCTGGGAATCCCGTGGGTGCTGGGATGTGCCTGAAACTAGACTGGTGCTGAAGCGGAGCACTGCCCACCTATGGGTAGGTGAAGGCAGAGGCTTGTGTTTCCCATAGACACAAAAGGACTGTCACCTCACCATCTCATGCTTCAAACTATTTTTTGGCAAAATGCCCAATACACAGCCAAATCCATTTTTGAAAACTAGTTTTAATTTATGGCATATGGCTTACAATAGGGAAGCCTGTCATCAGTCCCACCCATAACACTCTAGACACGTATCCCTCCAGTATTTGCTCTTGTGGATTTTCTGCATATTTATAATCATATTGCAAATACACTTTTTGCTTTAGTCTCATTAATGGAAGTACAATAACTATATACATCAAGCTAATCATTCCTTAGCTGTTAGATATTAATGTTATAAATTATTTTATTTAAAAAGAGGACAAACATTTTCAGGACTAGAACCTTTTTTGATTCTATGTTTCTCATTTAGTAAATTTCTGGGGATGATATGACTGGTGAGCAAAATTAATTTTGAAAGCTTGTATTTTTATTTACATATTTCAAAAACCAGCCCTGGCTGGTGTAGCCCAGTGGACTGAGCGCAGGCCTGCGAACCAGACAATCGAGGTTCGATTCCCAGTCAGGGCACATTCCTGGGTTGCAGGCCGGTTCCCTGCAGGCCAGTTCCCAGCAGGGGACGCACGGAAGGCAACCATACATTGATGTTTCTCTCTCTCTCCCCTTCTCTTTCCCTCTAAATATAAATAAATAAAATATTTTTTAAAAAACCAACTATGAGGGTGCTGAAAGAGGTAATATTTTTAGCAATTTAACACAGGTCTTTTTCTGAGGTCAGAGAGAAACACAGCACTAAAATGTGGATCAAGAGATACTGTCTCTGGTGAGGTTTTGTGCTGACCTTCTTGACCCCAGATAATTCTCATTATTAATTTTGTGCATCAATTCAGTTATGTATGCCCACATTTTTTTACAAATCTGTAAGAAAGTATATTTGTACTACAACCTAAAAATCAATTAAAAAATTTAAATTGGGATCAATTGTAGATTGCTAATGATACACTGTTTACACTCTTAGAAATAATGAGATACTGATCATTGCAAATGTTAAATTATCTACACTTGTAATAAGCACAATAATCAGCAAAATTAAAGAGGAACCTCAAGAACTGGTAATTTCCTATTATACTCAAGATTTCAGAAAGGGCTAAGAATTCCTACTTAAACACTAATGCAACAATGAGTCTGAAAATGTGGTAGGAGCAGGTTCATCTATACTCTCAGTCCTAAATCAATAAAGGAGTCACATGCAGGAACTGGACTGGAACACCTACTCTCTAGCCTCTCGTTTTCCACTTTTTGTGACAGGAGGCTCACTTCTCACACAGCAGCTAAGTATTCAATTGCTGGGCAGCTCAACCCGTTTTCTAATGTTGAGTCAAAATCAATTTCTCTGTAAACAGTGGTTCTACCCTCTACAAATAAAAAACAAAGTATCTCTTTGGCAAGATTTTCAAATACTGGAAGACAGAACTTCTCCAAGACCTCCCTTATTTAGGACAGCTCTTAATTTTCCAAACATACTAATATACATCATTGTCTCCAGATTCTTCACTATGATTTCCCTTCTTCTGAGGGCCCCTCTGCCCCCTCGAATTTAAACTAAAAAAGCTGACCACATCTTCCATTTCCTTTTGTCACAGGTCTCATCCTCCACTGCCCAGTGAACTGGCTCTTGATAAGGTCTCGAATGGCCTCTGTTTCAAAGTGGACCGTCTTCTCTGTCTGCACAGCAGCGTGCAACACAGTCGAACAACTTGGTTTCAATTTTTTAAACTTTTTGGAGAGGATTTTATGTTATTTTTTATTTTGAATCAATCTCAAACTTACAAAAAAGTTTTAACATTAAAAATATTTTCTCTTGAACCATTTGAGAGTAAGCTGCAGTCAGGCTGCCCCATTACTCTAAATAATTTAGCATTTATTTTCCATAAACAAAGACATTCCCTACAATTCCCAAGTCAGAACATTACAATTAATCCATTACTAGTTGCCCTTTATTCCACAGATTTCACTCAAGCTTCACTGATTATCTCAATATTCTTTATAGTAAAATCAGTCCATACAATGTTCATACAACGCCATATTTAAGTTGTTCTGTCTCCTTCTTTTATTTCACTCTAGAACAAGTTCCTCAGTCTTCCCTTGACTTTTGAGTACAGGCCAGTTATTCTGTAGAATGCCTCTCATTTTGGGTGTGTCTGTTTCCTCAGGATAATAATATTCAAGGAGCCTTGCTGTTTGTTGGTGAAGGCCAGTATTTAGAAATCAAATCTGGGTGCTAGTCGTGCTCAGTGCTGTTAGAGTCTTGTCACCAACAGACCTTCTCAGTGGACAGAACTAAGGAATATGTGCACTACATACATGC